CTCTGGAGTTGAATTGCTGTGTATTTTTAGAACTTTTTGAGTTTCATCTTTAAGAGACACTGGCTTATAATTTTCCTTTTTAAAATATTCTTGACACGTTTTGGTATGATAGTTTTGCTGAAAGCACAAAACAAGTTGAGAAAGGTGCCTTAGTTTTGTTCTCTGAAGAGTTTGTGTAAGATGCCTATTATTTTTTTCTCTAAATATTTGGAAAAATTTACCATGAAAGCTCACCAACTGAGCCTGGAGTTTTGTTTTGTTTTGTTTTTGCATGAAGATTTTAAAATATGAATTGAACTAATTTTCCAGATATAAGATTATTTATATTTTGTATTTATTCTTGTATAGTTTTTAAAATAAATGATGTTATTTCTTATGTATTTCATTAAAATTATCAAATTTATTAACAAAAATTATTCATAATATTCTCATATTATTTTAAAATATAATGTAGGATCTGTGTGGTATCTTTTTTTAATATCTGATAGTGATAATCTGTGGTATTTTTTCTTTTTTCTTTGACTGGTCTTAGATTATTGAATCAATCTTTATCTTTACTTGTAGTTTATTGATTTCTGATACTGTCTTTATTATTTCTTACCTTTTCTTTGCATTTAGTTTGCCATTCTCTTTCTTCTTGAGATGGATATTAGATTATGATTTTTCAAACATTTTTCTACTAAATGCATTCCAGGTATAAATTTCCTCTAAGCAAGATTCTAACATGTCATATTTTCTCTACTTCTATATAAATAAGATACTACACACTAACATATTGATTCTAATATTTATATGGAAAGGATCAAAATAGCCACAACCAATAATAATTAGAAACTAGGAGGAGTTTGCCCACTATTTATAGTGACTTTTCATAAAGCTGTTTTGAATAAGATAATGTAGTATTGATGCATCAGGTTGTAGATAGACGAATTGATGAATGCATTAGAACATTCATTAGATCATTTAGTGTACAACATTTTCTAATTTATTATGATTTCTTCTTTTATTCATAGGTTATTTAGAAATTTACTGCTAATTTCCAGACATTTAGGAATTTTCTAAATATTCTCTTGTTACTGATTTCTATTTTAATTTCTCTATTGTCAGAAAACATATTATTTTAATACTTTGAAGCTTGCTGAGATCTGACTTATGAACTGGTACATGGTCTATCTGGTAAATGCCCCATATGAACTTTAAAAAATGCATGATTCTGCAATTATTAGATGTCAAATTGTTCAGGTTGGCTAATGATACAGTTCACATCTTTGTCTTTTTTGATATATTGTCTGAACTTCTAGACAATGGAGAAAAATTCCTAGAAGTATATAATGTACCAAAAGTTTCTCAAGAAGAAATAAAAAGCTTTATTACTACTAATATAGCATCATAAATACTCATGAAATTGAGATAGCAGTTAAAAATGATCTCACAAAGAAAATGCTAGACCCAGATAGTTTTATAGGCAAGTCCTATCAAAATGTCATAAAACTATTTAATCCTTTACTACTCTTTCTGAAGATAGAAAAGGAGGAATTTGCTAATTCATTTTGTAAAGCCAGTGTAGCTTTGTTAATAAACCAGTCAAAGACAAATGAGAAAGGAAAGTCATAGACTCAACTCATTTATGAATCAGTTCAGTTCAGTTGCTCAGTCGTGTCTGACTCTTTGTGACCCCATGGACTGCAGCATGCCAGGCTTCTCTGTCCATCACTAACTCCCGGAGTTTGCTCAAATTCATTTATAAATAGAGCTGTATAAATCCTAAACAAATTTAGCAAACTGTATCCAATAGTGTGTAGTTAATATTCTGCACCCTGAAAATATTAGATTTATACAAAAGTGAAAAGTTATATTACTCACTATATGGCAACCCGCTCCGGTATTCTTGCCTGGACAATTCCATGGACAGAGAAGCCTGGTGGGCCATAGTCCATGGGATCGGATCGCAAGGAGACACGACTAAACGACGTAGGTAGGTAATAGACTAAAGATGAAAAGCCATATGGTCATCTCAATAGCTGCAGAGAAGACACTTGATAAAATTCATTTTTCCATTTATGATTTTTAAAAATCAATAATGAAATAGAAGAGAACTTCCTTAACTTTGTAACATAAAATGTGTCTATTCGACCACATCAATTAGAACAAATGTGACCTCAGATATTGGAGACACTTGCATTAAAATCAGAAGTTGTGCCCACTAAAATCAATCTGGGACCTAATCCCAAATTGACAGTTACTGTGTGAACGCTAATATGTATGATCTTGAAAAAGTTAAATTTAAGCCAATTCCTAATTTCCTCATATATCAAAAATACAGATAATAATAAATAACTTGCTGGAGTATTGAAATAAATAAATAACACAAGAAAGCATCTGTGGTAGGTTGCCTGATAACAGGAATTTTTACCTATTTTTCTTGGGCAAGGCCAGTTACATATTTGGCTCTAGTTTCCTAAGTCTGTAATAATACAGCATATACTAATACATATAACCAGCCAGGGTTCTAAGTGTATTACATGTATATATTAATTCACAGCAACTTTATGACATAGACACAAAGAGGTTAAACAACTTGCCTAAGGTTACTCAGCTAAGAAATGGGGAAGTCTTGATTGGAATCTCAGCCATCTGGTTCCAGAGCCTGTGTTTTTAACCACTACACTATGCTGCTGCTGCTAAGTCACTTCAGTTGTGTCTGACTCTGTGCGACCCCATAGACAGCAGCCCACTAGGCTCCCTCCCCAGTCCCTGGGTTTCTCCAGGCAAGAACACAGGAGTGGGTTGCCATTTCTTTCTCCAGCTGCCTTTCTGAAGAAATGGGTTGTAGGCTGTATCAGTTATTTATTGCCTGTTATGTTGCATAATAAATGGTGATAAAACCTCAGGGACATAGAAGAATGGCATTTATTGATCACGTGTTGAAATTGTTGTTAGGCAAATCTGTTCATCTTGACTGGGCTTCCTCACGTGGCTGGGGGTTGGCTTGCTGGGGGCCCTGGCTGGAACAGGCAGTATGCTTCTGCTTCAAGTGTCTCTCATCCTGCAGCAGACTAGTCTAGGGATAGTCTCATGATGAACAGCAGAGGTGAAAGAACAAAACGGAAATACTCGAGTGTTCTTTCAAGCCTCTGCTGCGTCATGTCTCACATCTTCTGCTGTGTCATAAAACAAATCACTTAGCTAACCCCAGAGTCAAAGTGGGAGGACATTATGAAGGTACATTAAAAAGGCTACGGATCTAAGAATATATCACTTGACACATTGAAGTTGTTTTATAATATACTACAAATGCCAAAGTCTAGGGTTCAGAAATTCTTATATATTAGGGATGATTTCTAAAATAGGACCTCTGTCAGCAATAGCATTTTTGACAATTAAATACAAAACTTTGAAAACACACATGCATGCACACACATACACAAACACATAAGTTTATAGAAAATAGGCAGAAACTTCTTCCAGGAATACTTAGTTGAATTTATAATCCCAAGGTAGTGGTAGGGATGATGATCATAGCTGACCTTTATGAGCTTGCTGTGTGCCCAGCACACAGCACTTGTTCTCAACACTTTACATGTAGTAACTCCCTTCATCTTTCCAACAACTCCATAATAGATACTGTTAATAGTACCTGTTCTGTTTTACAGATGAAGAAACTAAGAGGTTTAGTCATTTCACAGAGTCACCCACCTTTTTAATAAGATCTCCACACAAAGTTATATTTTCTGATTGAATTATATCCAGACCACTTTGCCGTGGATTTGAAGGACTTCTATAATCTGGCCCTACCCAATTTGATTATCTGTAACTTCCATTGCTACAAAGTATAATTTTAGAATATGTGATTCTGAGTCCCTCTGTGTATTTCTTCCTACACATGTTCAGCTTTAAAAAGTGTTACCAGAATCCTTAATGTGAATAATTAAACTTATTTCTAAGGGATGAAGTGTAAACTAAAGCTATTTTATTCTTTTGCTCCAAAAGTACAGGCTTTTGCTTTGATTTTTTTCTCACTCAATAAACAGATCTCTGCACTGATTTAGAGCTTTCTTAAAAATAAAATTCTATTTGCTTTGGCCAGTTGATGAGAAAGATGAGCTATAAGTCTTTATGAGATATAATGTAAATGACAGCATATATGTCAATAAAAGGAGCATTTCTAATTCCACCCTATAAAGTGAAGAGGAACTGAAGAGCCTCTTGATGAGGGTGAAAGAGGAGACTGAAAAAGCTGGCTTGAAATTCAGCCTTAAAAAAAACTGAGATCATGGCATCCAGTCTTATCACTTCATTGCAGATAGAAGGGTGAAAAATGGAAGCAGTGACAGATTGTATTTTCTTGGTCTCCAAAATTACTGTGAACGGTGACTGCAGTCATGAAATTAAAAGACATGCCTTGGAAGGAAAGCTATGACAAACCTCGACAGCATATTAAAAAGCAGAGACATCACTTTACCGACAAAGGTCCGTGTAGTAAAAACTGGTGTTTCCAGTAGTCATGTACGGATGTGAGGCTGAGCACCATAGTTTGATACTTTCGAACTGTGCTGGAGAAGTCTCTCGAGAGTCCTTTGGACAGCAAGGAGATCAGATCAGTCCATCCTAAAGAAAATCAATGTTGAATATTCATTGGAAGGACTGATGTTGAAGCTGAAGCTCCAGTACTTTGGCCACCTGATGCAAAGAACCGACCCACTGGAAAAGACTGTGATGCTGGGAAAGACTGAAGGCTAAAGGAGAAGAGAGCAGTAGAGGATGAGGTGGTTAGACAGCATCACCAACTCAGTGGACATAAATTTGCGCAAACTCTGGGAGATAGTGGAGGACAGAGGAGCCTGGCATGCTACAGTCCATGAGGTGTCAAAAGAGTTGGACATTACTTAGCGACAGAACAACAACAAATTCCACTGTGCTCCTGTTTCAGATGTTTGAGAGTGAAGAGGTATATACACATTTCCTGTGATTTCTGAACAAATTCTTATCTTATTCGACAGGTGGGTTTTCAGAAAAGACATATGAATGGAGCTCTGAGGAGGAAGAGCCAGTGAAAAAGGCAGGACCAGTCCAAGTCCTCATTGTCAAAGATGACCATTCCTTTGAATTAGATGAAACTGCTCTAAATCGAATCCTTCTCTCAGAGGCTGTCAGGGACAAGGAAGTCGTCGCTGTATCTGTTGCTGGAGCATTTAGAAAAGGAAAATCCTTCCTAATGGACTTCATGTTGAGATACATGTATAAACAGGTAGGGAAGAAGTTTAAAAAGTTTTCTGATTTCTGTGCTTCTATCACTTTGTGTTTTTATTTAGTAGTAGTGTCCAATGTTTCCATTATTGTGTTCCCTAAAGATGAACTAGTTTAAAAATGCTATCGTGTAATCATTCCAACTCTGGTGCTTTGGGGACCAAACTATATAGGCCACTTTCTCTGAAGCCACTTTGCTACATTTCCCTTAGAACATAACACATTTTAAAAAATTCTTTTGAAAATAGACAAGTGCAGTGATACAGTTATAAACTTTACATGTTAGTGTTTAAAATGTCAAATAACTTTTGTCATAATTTGTATCATAGTCATTTTGTGCCCAACATTTACAATGACATTTTTCATACATGCAACAAAGCTAAAAGAACCTTGCAGTGAATACCTGGATGTGCACTGCTTAGATTGTACCAATAACATTAATATTTTTGCTTTACTACTTTGTTGTATCCAGCTATTCTTCCCTGTTTCAATCCATTGCTCCATCTTATTTTTGATTCATTTCAAAGTAAATTGTTGACTTCAGTATTCTTCCCTATAAATATTTCCATACATATCATCATTATGTATCTCAGTATTTATGTAGTTTTTTTTCTTTTGTTGTAACATTTACATGTAGTTACATCTGAAGTGTATTTCTGCTTTTTGGGGGGAAATATAAATACCTGGGTAGCCCCAAATCCTATCAAGTGTATCTTGCTGTTAACCTCACAAAGTTCTGTTATCTTTTCCCACTCAGTTCTCACCTTTAACCCACCCCCAAAGGCAACCAACACGGTGGTAACATTTGAAATAATAGTGTGGCATATAAAAGAGGCTTTAAGGGGCATGCAACCAACCAAAAGCAGAAAGATAAATAGGAGATTAGAGTTGGGGAACAGAAAGTTAGAAGTTGAGAGCATACCAGTATTTTTGTCTACCCTTTTACCCATAGTAATTCAGATGCAAATATGGATGTTGAGGCAGAATAGACATACTATCCAAAGAAACTTTGGGTTATGCATTTATATAATAATTATCCATTTTGGACTGAACTTTTATGTAGGTGAGATATTTTTGAACAACTTTGTNGCAAACCAATAATCCCTAAATAAAAGCAAACACTACAAACTAAACTAGCAAAAAGAGAAAATCAAACACAGAAAGTAAACTGTAAAAGGCAAAGAAAGCATAAAGCAAGCAGACAAATATGATCATAGAAAAAAAATGTAAGAACAAAACAGATGAAAACAAAAGGGAAAATACAAAACAGCAAGGAAGTAAAAAAAGAGAGAGAAACGTAAGATATAATTTAAAAAGATAAAACAAAGGACAGAAAGAAAAACAAGGAAAATGCAGTAAGTTAAAAAATACAATAGAAATAGGAAAAAAATGAAAACATATTTAAAGTAAAAGAATAAAAAACTGAATACAAATTAAATGAATAACAATAGGACAAAACAAAAAGGATATGTATATTTTTGAGAGAGAAGGAGAGACTTGTAGTAGGAAGAAAATTTTCCTGTGGCCTCATCTGTCACTCTCTTTGCCCCCACAGTGAGCTCCAGCCAATCTGCCTATCTAGGAAGTCCTCCAGTATTTCTAGGAAGATCTCTGGACCTGCTGTTGACAATGTGGGGCCAGCTCAAATTCTGACCTGGACTTACTCTAGCTTGTACTTGTATCCAAAGTCCACAGGTGCCCCCAAAGTTCACAGCCTCAAATGTGGGGACACTTGTCCAGATATTCCACAGATGCAGTGTTTACCAAGCCCACTGTGGGGATTTAATCTTTTGCTCCTTCAGCTGCATGTGAGAAGCCCGTTCCTCTTCAGTCACATAGCCCCTGGTCACATAGCTTTGGTTTTGTACTCTCACCTCCCTTTGTATGCTGCCCTCCTGCACCTGTTCCCTGCTCAGACAGGAGGTGGTGAAAGCATAGGCTGAGCTTGCTCTCTCAGCCTGGGGAGAGGTAGGGATGTCTGAGGAGTTCCTCCCACAACTGGAATGTGTGAGGAGTTCCTGCAGCCGCAGAGGCTGGAAAGGAAGTTGCTAGAGCCTGAGGCAACTGCGCATTTTCCCAGAGGAGTTGGCCCTTGATTGCAATGCCAGGCTGCACAGATTTTCCTAGAAGCCATGGACAATGACCTGCACTTGCTCATAGCTTGGTGGCAGTGGTAGTAGTCATATCACCCACCTCTGTGGTTGGCGATAGCAGCTGAGACTTGCACCACCGCTGGAGCTCACATAGGCAGTGCCTTGCCAGCTGTGAGCACATGGTGTTAGAAGCTCCAGTCCTGGCCTGTGCCTCCCCTCACCACCCTGCAACAAGAGTCTCTTGTCTCTTTGACAAGCCCAGGGTTCTTCCTGGACTGATTCAGCTGTGTCCCCTCAAACCGTCTTCATAGCAGTCAACCCTAGTTTTCTCCAAAGCTTGAGCCTCAGCACCTATCCCACACCCGTGCCAGTGGGCAGGCAGAAAAGTGTCATAGTCTGGGAGCTGCTGGTCTCTATGCAGAATTCTCCCTGCTTTGCCCTCTGCACACCTCTTACTGTGCTCGCCTCTGAGACTTTGATGGTCCTTCCTTTTCCCACCACTGAGTGAGGTTTTCTAGTGTTCAGAACCTTTCTCTCCCTCACAGCTCCCTCCCAGAGGCACAGGTCCTGTCCCAATTCCCTTGTCTCTTTTTTTTTTCTTATTTATATTGGTGATCAGCTTGCCCTTTTGGAAGTCTGAGGTCTTCTACCAGCATTCAGTAGGTATTGTTCCACATGTAGATATATTTTGTTGTATTTGTGTGGTGGAAAGTGATCACCACGACTCCTCCGCTATCTTGAAGATCCTTTCAGGGATTGTTTCCTTAATTTCTCTTTCTAATCTACCATTGTTATTGTATAGGAATGCAAAATATTTCTGTGTATTGATTTTATATCCAGCAACTTTACCAATTCATTCATGAGTTCTTATAATTTTTTGAAAGCCTCTTTAGGATTTTTTTAATGTACAGTATCATGTCCTCTGCAAACAGTGACAGTTTTACTTTTTCTTTTCCAATTGAGACTTGTTTTATTTCTTTTTCTTCTCTAATTGCTGCAGCTAAGACTTCCAAAACTATATTAAATAAAAATGGCAAGAGTGGATATCTTTATTTTTATTCTTCCTAATCTCAGAGGAAATCCTTTCAGTTTTTCACTTTTGAAAATTATGTTTGCTGTGAGTTTGTCATATATAGTCTTTATTATTTTGAGGTAGATTTATGCTTACTTTCTGAAGATTTTTTGTCATAAATTGGTGCTGAATTTTTTTCAGAAACTTTTTCTGTATCTATTGAGAAAATCATATGATTTTATTCTTAATTTTTTGATGAAAATAACCTCACATTGATTGATTTGCAGATATTGAAAAATCCTTGCATCCCTGGGATAGATTCCACTTTATTATGGCGCAGAACTGTTTAGTGTGTTGGTAGATTCAGTTTGCTAGTATTTTGTTGAGAATACTGGGGTCTATGTTCATCAGTGATATTGGCCTGTAATATTTTTTGTGTTATCTTTGTCTTGTTTGGGTCTCAGGGTGATGTTGCCCTTGAAAAATGAGTGTGGGAGTGTCCTCTCCTCTGCATGTTTTTGGGAGTTTCAAAAGTGTAGGTTTTTCTTTTTTTTAATTTTTATTTTTTTAATTTATTTTTTTATTAGTTGGAGTCTAATTACTTTACAATATTGTAGTGGTTTTTGTCATACATTGACATGAATCAGCCATGGATTTACATGTATATGACCCAGTAATCCCACTTCTGAGCATACACACTGAGGATACCAGATCTGAAAGAGACATGTGCACCCCAATGTTCATCACAGCACTGTTTATAATAGCCAGGACATGGGAAAGTGTAGGTTTTAACCTCTCAATAAATATTTGGTAGAATTCATCAGTGAAGTCATCTGTTCCTGGACTTTTGTCTGTTGGGAGTTTTTGAATCAGTTTCAATTCCAGTACTTATAATTAGTCTATTCATATTTTCTGTTTCCTCCTTGTTCAGTCTTGGAAGGTTGTACTTTTCTAAGAATTTGTCCATTTCTTCCAGGTCATCTATTTTACTGGTGTGTAGTTTCATTTAGTAGTCTCTTATTATCCTTTTGATTTCTGTGGCATGTGTTATAACTTCTGTTTTTTCATTTTTAACTTTAATGATTTGAGTCTTCTTTTTTTTTTTCTTATTGAGTCTGGCTAAAGTTTATCAGTTTGTTTATCTTTTCAGGGAATAAGCTGTTAGTTTCATTGGTCTTTGGTATTGTTTTCTTCATCTCTATTTCATTTATATCTGCTCTGGTCTTTATGATATCTTTCCTTCTACTAACTGGGTTTTGTTTGATCTTTTTTTAATTGTTTTAGGTATAAGTTTAGGTTGTTTATTTGATTTTTTTGTTTCTTAAGGCAAGAATTTACTGTTAAAAACTTCCCTCTTAGAACTGTTTTTGCTGCATCCCATAAGCTTTGGATCATTGTGTTTTTCTTGTCATTTGTCTCAAGGTATTTTTAAATTTCCTCTTTTATTTGTTCAGTAATCCATTGGTTATTTAATAACGTTTTCTCTAACCTCCTTGTGTTTGTGTTTTGTACAGTTTTTCTCTTTTAAATGATTTCTAATCTTATAGCACTGTGGTCAAAAAACATGGTCAGTATGATTCCAGTTTTCTTCAATTTGTGACCCGGAGTGTGATCTGTCCTGAAGAATGTTCCATGTGCAGTTAAGAAAGTGTATTCTGCTGCTTTCAGATGGAATGTTCTATAAATATCAGTTAAGGTTATCTGGTCTAATATGTCATTTAAGGTTTGTGTTTCCTTATTAATTTTCTACTTGGATGATTGTTCATGGGTGTATGTGAATGTTCAAACTCCCCGATATTATTGTGTTATGGTAGGTTTCCCCTTTTATGGCTGGAAGTGTTTACCTTATATATTGAGCTGTTTATATATATAACTTCTTGGATTCATACC